TGGTACCGAGTACCCGTTCAACCCGGTTCTAGATGCGCTATCCGAAAGGTGCGCAGATGCGCGAATGAACATTGCTGTTATTAGAGTAGTTAATCGTTAGCATAAGCGCGGCTAACGCTAATATAATGAGCATTAGAATGAAGCTTTATTAACTATTTAATGCTCCTATAACTTTTATTAGGGTAAAATAATAAAATAATGACATTTACTATTTTTACAAACCAGAGGCTTTTAAATGAATTGTGAATCTAAAATATGCATGTTAGAGAATGTACAAATGGTTAACATTGCGTCATATCAGTCAGAAAAGCAGTTCTGGGCTTTTTTAAATTAATTTTTTTAGCTAACTTAGTTGTTATTCTTGGCTGAATAACTCTAGAAGGTTTTAAAAGCCCTTTAAAATTAAATATGTACACAGTTTGGATTAAATGAAAGTATAGTCAAATTTTTTAATTAGCATGTTTTTGTGTTTTGCTTTGGTACCGAAAACCGTGGATTTTCACTGGTATTGGTACCGAATACTGAAATTTTGTTACCGTGACAACACTATTTAGGACTACATCAAATGGAAGACTTTTCAGACGTGCACTCCACTTCGCCTCAGCGCAAGGCGCGAGTCAAACGAGTGCGGAAACGGTACAAGTGACGAGACAGCTTCAGTAGAACATCAGTGAACTGCGGTCAGATGAGATGTTGTCAGGCCATATGTCTGTAAAAACAAATTTTCCCGTCTAGTCGACCATTACACTGTGGTTGTAAGCTTGTGCTCTTCAATTGCATGCACAAATACGGCGGCACGCACTGTAGCCCGTATTATTCCATATTAAAGTGCAAATGAAACGACAAGCATGCATGTCAGATCAGAGTCATGTTCAGCAGCGGCAGCTCTTAAAGTAATAGCAGCCAAAAAACTTAACCCAGCTGCTGTGATGTCTGTTAATCAAAGAACAAAAAAAAAATTTAATTCAACAACTTTTGTAGCTTTAAGAATTCATCTATATTTAATTTGGTGTTTGATAACTTTATTCAGTTTCTGTATATTTCCTACTTGCTGAAGGGCACAGGTAAATATGACATTTATTATGTGAATAAATGTATAAATTATGTGAAGATTGTTGTGAAAGCCCGCAGGTGATGGAGATTTACCGCTGATTACAGAACCGGCTTTCTGACCAGATGTGCGTTAAATATCGCATGCGATTTATCGTGCAGCCCTATTTTAAGTTCACTTAAATTAGTTGTTATTTTTTAAAGTCTAATAAATGTAAAAATTGATAGCCCTTAATTATACTGTAATGCTGAATGGTTATAGTCTGTTTAAATACGAGGAAAAAAAGAACTATTTCCTAGAGAGATCAGTAGTATTGGTATCAGTGATGCATTTAAAAACCTTAACGTTAGGTGGGATTAATCGCGATTAATCTCAGAAAAAAAGTGTGATTAGTTAATATTTTTAATCGACTGACAGCACTAATTTTAATATATTGTAAAATTGAATTTAAATGCTAGAAATCTGATCATGTACTTAAAAAAAATTAAAAAAAATAGATAAAAAAATAAAAAGAACACATTCTGGAATTCACAAAGAGGGAAATTTTTACCCACACAGTTTTTTGTCAGCGGCAATGGCATTTCTGCCCTGAGCCCTGCACGAGCCGCAGGGTTTAATTTGGATTTGTCTGTGCATGTTTTTTTTACTCTCATAGATTTTGTTACCATTGCCATGCATTATACAACTGATAGACTGCAACGGTTAAAGTTAAAAATCATCATATGTGTTCTACTGAAGAAACAAAGTCACCTACATCTTGGATGCCCTGGGGGTAATCAGATAAACATCAAATTTTCATTTTTGGGTGAACTATCCCTTTAACCCTGGTCAGTAGCTGTGAAAGGCCAGTTGCAGACCAAGTGCTGAACAAGAACAGTGAGTTATGTTGAGTCATACTGCAAGGAAGGGAAAAACAACTAGATGCACTACAGTTCGGCACAAAGCTTTGTGTTCAAGACTCACTCTTATAGCACAAGCTAACTAAAACCAACAGCCCATCTATAGAAAGTTCAAGTTCAACATCACATGATCTGCACTTAAACTGGTAGCTGACCCAAAAAATAAACATTTACCCCTCACGCTATTACAAACCCATATGATTTTCTTTCTTCCATTGCAATTTGTGCAATTTAAGTTTTTCTTATTGTATTGTATGGAAGGTGTGTCGTGTACCACCGAAGGAAAAAGTCATGTTAAGTCATATGATTGTAACATTTGAGGGTAAATTAGTTTTTTGGGTGAACTATTCTTTTAAGACTTAAAAACACTGTAAGACCAGTCTATAAGAGTGGGACAGCACACATATATTTCCTGAGACTTAGGTGTACTGTAGATATATATAAGTGTGCAAGCACACAGAGACATTCAGCTGTCCAGGGGCCACTGGGAACAATAGTGAGTCAGTGGTGTGGGCGAGCAGGGGGAGGGGTGAATGTGAGCAGACCTGAGTCATCCTAAATGCTGTGCATCATCACGCCAGCATGACCATCCCAAAACTACAGCAGCGCTGTCCTACAGCCAAACTCACAGCCTTTAAGCCTAACAACCTCCAAACTAGTCTGACTGCCCCAAACACAAAACATAACCTACTTGACCAGATAACACCAGCACATATTCTAACCTAACTGTCCTGCTAGAGCCTATAACAATCCACCAATACTGCCCTTACTGTGTAGTTAACATGAACAATGTGTTTTCAACATGATTTTATTTATTTGAAATAGCCCTGCATTGATACAAAGTCTTATTAAAAGCGCATTCTCTTAACATCTTAATCAACAAGCCATATTAACTGATAGCTAGACTTCTACTTTTTTTTTTTAAAGATGTTCTCAGTATATATTCACTAGTCCAAGCCAAAAGAGCCCAACCTCAAGTCTCTATGTCTCGGTTTAGGGATGTGAATGGCTAATCATCTTGAATCAACAATCGATGACCTTAATAAATAAGGTTTTTAATCAATTCCAGCTTAAAAGCACTCAGTAATCATGCGAGCACATCAAAAACATAAAAATCATTGACCTAAAACCTATAAAGTGCTTCCTTGCAAGTAAAAAATATTTGCGTCATAACTGTATGTTAAAGTCAGCATGAAATGAAAATGAACCTTCTTATCTACATGCATGCTGTAGAACTTATTGTGTGAACCATTCATCCAAGCATGTTTTTTTTCCTTTCTTTTTTTCCCCCCATTTGACCTCAATTTTTAGTCTACTGGACCTCCCGGTTAAATGTCAGACTTCTCTCTGGTGATGTATGCCGGACTTCTCCATTCATTTAGTTCTCTTAAACCCACCCCTGCAAAGTTCATATGCCTACACTCAAAAGTGGAACGCCCACAATTTAACATCCAATCAACAACTGATGCATAGAACCAAGTCCCACTTCTCTGTCCGTTTTGAATAAGTGTTGTGAGCGAGGTGTCAGAGGAGAGAGAGTGCCGTGTCTTTAAAGAGATAAAAAAAATAAAAAAAAATTAATTTACTCACCCTCATAATGTTCCAAACCCTTAAAGGGTTAGTTCACCCAAAAATGAAAATCACCCCATAAATTACTCACCCTCAAGTCATCCTAGGTGTATATGACTTTCTTCTTTTCAGACGAATCCAGTCGGAGTTATATTAAAAATTGTCTTTGATCTTTCAAGCTGTTTAATGCCACTCAGCGGGTGTTGCATGTACCAGTCCAAAATAAGTTAAATAAAAAGCACCCATCCATAAAAAAAAGTCTCTCACACGGCTCCGGGGGGTGAACAAAGGCCTCCTGTAGCGAATTGATGCATTTATGAAAGAAAAATGTCCATATTCAAAAAGTAATAATCACTTTAAATGTAAACACTTTAAACAGTTGCACACGGAAGCAGCTCCGGGCTGATGACGTATGAGGTCAGCTTTGTGCATGCGCCGCTCAGAAATGACACACGCGGAAGCGCAGGGGAGAGATCAAAACAAAACAATCATGCAACACCCGCTGAGTGCCATGAAACAGCTTGAAAGATCAAAGACCATTTTTAATATAACTCTGACTGGATTCGTCTGAAAGAAGAAAGTCATATACACCTAGGATGACTTGAGGGTGAGTAATTTATGGGCTAATTTTCATTTTTGGGTGAACTAACCCTTTAAGACTCTCGTTAATCTTCAAAACAAAAATAAAGATATTTTTAATGACAACTGAGAGATTTCTGTCCCTCTACTAAAAATCTACTCATAAAAACGTTGATGCTTAAAGGGGACCTATTATGGCTCCTTTTACAAGATGCAAAACAAGTCTCAGGTGTCCACAGAATGTGTCTAAAGTTTCAGATGAAAACACCCTACAGATCATATATTATACCATTTTGAGAAGAAGCAAAAGCATGCTGTTTTCATGCATGTATCTTTAAATGCAAATGAGCTGCTGCTCCCCACCCCCTTTTCCAGAATAGGGCTGTGCCTTTACAGCTCATGCCTCAGATACTCTGCCAAAACAAAACATCGTTCTTTGTCATCGGGAAAGCTTATTATTTGCATGCGTTTTAAAGCCATAAAAATCCGGAGCATGCGTACAGAAAGACGCTGTCACACGGCATGTGAGTACTAAAATAAGTTCTTTCATGTCTTATTGCGCTTAAACTGACAAATACTCCCATAGTTATGTCAAAAACACACAAAGCTTACATAAGCACAGTCGGTTATGTCTGTGAATGTAAACAGCTGGGAAAGAAATTGCATGTTTATATCAGATCTGTGTATTTAGTAACAGCAGCGTAATATACAGTACCTACTGCTGTCTATGCTGTTAATATGACCTAAACAACAACAATCACAGAAAATCACTCACTGCTCTTGACTTAATAACTTCAGTAGCCTTAATAAGACAGGTCGCATGTCAGGATCGCTTCATTGTCGATGTGCGTCCAATGCATGCTAAAACAAAATATACCTTCGTTAGCTAGCGGTGTACTTGATTCCATAGACACTATTGGAAGCAAACTGAACTGAGCTGCACGATGACATCACTGAATCGACAATGAAATGACTTTAACTGAAAAACTGACGGTTCACTATTGTCCTCTTTTTAGAGCAGAAATTACTTTTGTTTGCATTATTAACACACTATTTTCCTGTTGAACAGTGTAAATCTACTTTGACAATCTGAATTGCATAAAGCTCTATATAAATAAAGGTGACTTTAAAAAAAAAAAACAGGTGGAGAGGGGGTGGTCTACAGTCATGGAAGGAGACTCTGTATATGACTCGAAGGTGGGCTTATTCAAATAGCTAGCTATCTACGTAGAAACTGGCTGCAAATAGAAACAGCTCGCCGGATGACAGAGTTTAAGTGTTTTCACACTTGGTTCACTTGCTTGGTCCGAATCAGAGTTTGATTGCTCCCCCCTCCCCCTGCCCCCGCTGGACTGCGTTCATTTTATTTGGATCCCAACTGCGGATCAAGTCAGCAGCTGTTTACCCCATTGCTTAGTAACAACGGCGCAGGAGAAGGCAGCAAAATGCTCTCTTCATTTTTAAATATTTATGTTTTTGAACCATTGGTTTTGTTTCCAAAGCTTCAGTACATAACAGCACAATGTACTGCAAATGCTCTAAAGAACACTAAAGGCGATCAGAAATGAGACATACAGCTCACTCCATGCAGCGCGTCAGTCACACTCGTCATGAAAGTGAGTGAAACACACACACAAACACACATTTTTATCAAATAATACGTCATTAATAGCGGTTCACTTCCGTGATTTGGTATGATTGCGTTCACATCAGCAGCGAACAGTACCGGAGTTCACTTGAACCCCAGACCACTCTTTTTAAGCGGACTCGGGTACGGTTCGCGGGTGCGCACCCCAGTTCGGAAGACCGCGTTCACATCATTCAAACGAACCGAACTCTGAAGTCAATCAAACACGGGTGCGGACCAAAAGTGCTAGTGTGAAAGCACCCTAAGACTCAGACTGCCCATAACAAACTGGCTGCGTGTTTTCTTTTCGGCTTTTCTGAACTGGCAGACATGCCAGAAACCTAACTAGATGCACATTTTTTATCTTACAATCTTCTAAAGAGAAAGCCCACTTTATATGATAAAGAGATGTAATTTAGGCTTTTATTCACATATACATGGAGCACATCAAATATGGAAAACAGGGGCTCAATCGTGCTTGCGCAGTGCGAGAACAAACCTCATTGGCTTTCACATGTCAAACAAGCGCACTGAGCTTCCATTTACCATATTTGATGAGCTTATTTAGTTTGAAACAACATGAGGAGAAGTAAATAACATTTATTTTGTGGGCGAACTACCATTTAATGCTGTTTTACTGTCCTACGAGACATGAAGATGTAAAGAAAAAAAAAACTGATCAATAAGAATTGTGTGCTGTCTGATTCCCTTATTATATATTTCCCCTCAAGAATACAAAAAAAAAAGAAAGTTTGTTCCTCTCTTGAGATCCACATTCACAGAACAGTTGCTGCAACCTACACTGTGCTCATGTGGGCCGGGAACAAACAGATGTGCGAGTTAAGAGATTTGCTGCGATGGCCTCATCCTCAAAATGACGAAATTAAGTTAATATGAGCATGTAGCAACATTCCCTCATTACTCAGCATCCCACAAAGAAAACTGAACCATACCAAAGGACTGATCAAATCTAGATGGGTGTTGAAGTGTGGGAGGACTCAATAGTAGAACAATCAATGGTAGTTATATAAATATCTGAGGTTTAGGTGAAACACTCGTGTGGATTAGAATGTAAAACTACCATAAAAAGTGTTCATTTTATTGGTTCAGTCTTAGTTTATGATTAACCAGAATCAAATGAATAGTTAATTATATGCATCTTTGTGACTCTAGTCACCTTATTTCAACAATTCTTGGCAACCACATTGTAAAATACTCCCAGCAACTGATAAATTCCCACCAAGATTTTAAAGCTTTTCTTGTAAGGACCAGAAAATGAATGCAAACCCTTTTATCCATGTAAACTTAATTTAACATGTTACGGTATTCAGTAATGCAAGCACACATCACTCAAGGGGTGCTATGACATCAACACAAAATGGAAACTGCAATTGCCTTTCCTTCTGTGACTTCTATCTGTGAAGTAACAGCAAATAAATAAATAAATTAGGACGGGGTTTAAGTGGATTTTAGAAAGTGCTGCTGTGCTAACAACTGGATTGAAACTCGTCATTTGGCAAACGTATTGTCCAATGTCCATGACATCATATCATGTGGGAGGGGCACGTCAAAGATTAAGGCACATGTTGAAAAAAATAATTATGTGCACGCATAAATCATTTATAATAAACAATGCAACATTCGATTTAAAAAAATAAATTTAAAATGGATCCTTTTTACAGACGCGTTTCCACAGTTGTAAATCTAGCAAAATATTTTAGATTTTCATTATCTAAAAATGTAATGCACATTTCTAACAGTACTCTTTGTGTTTTATTACCTTTACTAAATTACAGAAAGTTTTACCAAAACTAGTTAAAGCTGCAGTCCGTAACTTTTTATGGTTAAAAATGATCCGAAATCAATATTTGAGCAAGTACATAACCAGCCAGTGTTCAAAACTATCGCCTTACTTTAGCCTGATTCACAACGGTTAGCTTATAATAATTTTTTTCTAATTTGAGTGGTACGGGTAGGTTTTCGCGGGAAATTCGAGCATGCCGCTGCGTCATTACGTCACGTCTGTAAACATAAAGAAGTTGTCCCGGCTACTAGGCTATCGCATGTGAGGATCCTGCAGGTGGCCGATCGTTTATAGCCTTTTCTCACAGCAGCCAGAATAATTAAATGTATCAATTTGATGGCGGATTGTATTTTAAGCATACTAGGCATACCATATTAAGCATACTAGCCATTAGCATCCACACCAGTGAGTCTTGTTTCGAGTGAAACATGTCAGAGGATTAAAAATTAATGAAACGGTGAGACAAATTGATGCAAATCGATTTATTTTTGTAGCCTTATTTATTCCACTTATTTAGCCTTAAAGTATACTCAACCACAGATGAGCGTGGATGGATGAGTTTGACACATGAGCAGTACCACCTAGAGAACTCTTTTCTGTCTTAACATTCAACTCATGTCTGCGCTGTTGTACATTGCGCGGACAGTTCACAGACTGTCGCAGAATGCGGCTGGCCGAAGTATACTTTGGGTTTAAGCTAGGGCTGGACGATATCCTTTAATTAAAGAAAATTCTATTCCAAGTGCACCACACATGAAGTTGTCAACATGATGTAAATGTTAAACATATCACTTGTTAAATATTTTTGCAGAAAAGATGCATGAACTAAAGCCCGATTCAGACGGTAATTGTTTCTCATATGGACGTCTGTAAAAATAAGCGTACATATCACCTCAGTGATAAAACTCATGGATTCGGATGGTGATTTATTCACAGTGGAGGAGCGAGTTCTGTGATCCTACGAACCCGGGACCGCGCTGCTCATGTGGCCAGTCACATGATCGTCTACTGTAAATAAAATGAATTTTATTTACAAATTTATTTTTATTATTGTGTAAACTGTATTTAAAAATACTTATTATGTAACATGTATTCTTATTATTCCAAGCATATTTTATAATATATAATCCTATTTATTATTTGATTATTTAAATCTCCTGTTTAAAAATAGGAAAATACACGTGCTATAGTTGTATATAATTATACGCGATATAGTTATGTATATATCGGTTTATAATACACATTTTAAAATTGTATTGCATACCTGCTGCTGCCATAATAAAGACCCATTTCGAATGTTTATGTGCTTTTCTTCTCTTTCTGCTCCCAGTCGCTGTGGTGGAGCAGTTATGAAGTATTGTTTTTTTAAATACAGTAATAAATATGTATGCAAATTACACCGAAGTACAACAGTTACCTTACGGTGTTCGGGAGTGCTCAAAGAAGTATTGTTCTTTTAAATACAGTAATAAATATGTATGCAAATTACACCGAAGTACAACAGTTACCTTACGGTGTTCGGGAGTGCTCAAAAAGGGTTTAAACACTGAATTTTGAATCGATTTCTTCTCGTAAACTCAGAGGTGTGTTAACTGTTGCGCTCATGTCTCTTGCAGCGTTAGAATGCATGAAACGGCATTCTAAAAACACACCACTCAAGTTAAAAGAAGTTCACTCCCGTCTTCTTTTTTTTTCCCTATTCCACTGCCCGCGTCACATCTTTGTCAACACAAAAGCGCATTCTGTATGAATGGCGCCTAGCAATATATTCTAAGGTCATTCACTGAGTGCGTCATCACATGCGCCGACATGCAGATGGATCGTTCTTTTCTCTTTACTGCTATCACCGGCATAGTCAAAATATCTAATTCTAACGTATTGTAATATTTCTATTCATAATCATGATTTCTCGATTTATAAAAAATAAAATCGTGGCAAAACATTAAATTCGAATTGATAAAATTGGAAAAAACACCCAGCACTATAAGCTAAAGGAGTGACACCAAATTTGACGACATCTGACCAACTAAATAAATATCTCAACATTCTTTCCTCTTTTGGTCATAGAAACACTATTGTGTTTTTTTCTTTTGCAACTGGAGCAAATGGGAACAATTTAGATCTGCTGCAGTTTCCGTTCACCACTGTAGAAGTTTACCAAACTATGATGAACAGTGTCCACTGTCAATTTTGATTTCATGGTGACGTTTTGACAGTTTGAAGACATTATTAACCCCTTAACTGTCACTCACATTTTTGAACATAGACGTGAAGGTGCACGATCCAAACTTAAATTTTTATAATTCATGAACGAAAACATTTTGTAACATGATATTGATGTACCAGTTTCATTTTAAAATGGGTTTCAAAGGATGAATTTTGAGATTTAAAGTTTTCAATTGATATATAATTTCTGATGATTTCTAAAGTGTGATAGAGAAAAAGGCAACAAAGAAGACTTTTTTTTGACAAAGGTCAGAACTCCTGTTATAATGTAGATTTTTGAGGTGCACTCTTGTCAAAAATTAATCTATTACTTTTCCTACATCATTTTTAACAAAAACATTGGTAAAATATCTATTTAGGAGTCTTAGACCTTTCCAACGATATATAGTTTGTCATGATTAGATTAGGATTTAATTGTAATATAGTGAAGTAAACGTAGGCATCCCACAGAGGGGACGGGTGACAGTTAAAGGGTTAATGTGCACAAAATAAAAAAAACATTTAATGTTACACTATCAACATGACCACAGCAAGTTAAACCATACTTCCAATTAAAACATGAAAAAGAAAAGTGACTGACTTAAGCAGTCATATCATTCAAGTACAATATATTTCTAGGCTAATATAACATAAAAGTCAGCTGATGTTAGAAATGCACCAACATCCAACACCCCTGAAACCCCAAACTGAAGACTGCCCATCCGCATGCATGGCAGCTCCTGGTGCGTTGGAGGAAAGGACACTGGTTTCAACATTGATCTGTCAGTTCTCAGGCGACATTACTGCCCACACCTCTTCAGGAGAGAATAAACCTGCTGTCAGATGTTGTAGATGCTACAGTGATTCATTCATAAAGAAAGCTGCCCTTATCGGTTTAGTTGTCTGGATTCTAGCAGTGCAGTATGAGTTTAATCAGCTATGGAACCTGTAAATCTCCACTCATGACTTCTCTTTGCTGTGGTTTATCATGCCCTAATGTCCACAAACTACAATAAGCATTACATGCTACCAGTTTCAGGAGCCTGACTTTCTCTGTAAAGCCAGCCATGGTTTCAACATTATACACTGCTCTCTGTGCCACCATTTCAATCAACAGCACTGTTGCAATATCTTCACAAGGAAAACAACATGTAAAGGAAGTCCTGTTTTTAAGACACAAGCAGGGCTAAAAATACTAATCTAGTTTAAAAATGGAAGGATGGCCAGGTTTTCAGTGTCCTCAAAGTATTGGACTTAGATGACACTTGGTTCCAGAATGTCACTGCATTAGAAAATATTAGAGCAAGAGTCATTTGCTTTCAGATGCTGCAGATCACTTCATAATCACAAAGTTGCACTATACATTTTTCAAACCTAATCAAAGTATTTGTGTGCTCTATTTCTTGGTTCTAATGCAACGACATTCACACATGACTTGAAGTCCTTCAGGGCTGCTTTCTAGAAGCAGGGATGCTTTGAAAGCTTCAATCAGTCTTGGGGTTTTGGAAAGCACAGCAATGCACGCTCCAAAAACAAACTCAGCCATGAGGTGATCATTCATTAATCCCCCCTCTCAAAAAATCTGTGGCACACAGCGAACAGCACCGAGCTCATGTGACGTGCTAGACGTGTGTTCCTGTCACAGTCACATGACTAGTGGGGTCAACCGATATATCGGCCGATATTTGGCATTTTTCAAATATCGGTATCGGCCGATAAGTTTTTCTGCCTGGCCGATGTGTTGGAGGCGTGACTTTTATTTTGATGGCGCTGAGAACGGCAGCGCCTGACCACACAGTGCACACATTCTCCCTCTTCATTGTTTGTCGTCGTCGTTTAACAGTTCTGCCTAATACAGATAGAAGTCTGTCTAATAAGCAGATAGAACTGTTGAACAAATGAATAAAAAGGTATACAAAAAGTATTATAACGATTGCTTTTATATTATTAGTAACAGAAAGGCAGACATAATACTTTCTCGTTTGCCGTCAGCATTCAGCAAATACGCATATCATTTAAACAAACCTTTAAATGACTAATGAACATTTAATTTCACAAACCTTGCAGACTTAGTCGAATCCAGCTGTGAGATCTTGTGAAGTGTGCATTTGTATATTGCCTGATCGTATGTGCTCCGCGTGACAGTCGATCCGTGTGAATTGAATCCGGACAGGAGGAGAGTTCAGCTTCACTGGAGATGCGTGATCAACTTTAAACTCGTTATTTCAAACTATGCTGATTTATGCATTTGCGCACTGTCATATTCATGTCATTTTTACTGCGTGCTGCATGTAAAATGAGTGTTACCTTGGCTTTAGTTGAAAAAATATGATTCCCAAAGCACACAAACTTTGCAGATTACCGAGTGCCCAGTTGGTTACAGTGTTTACTTTCTTTTT